GTTTAGTAGCAAAGTATTATGGGTATGAAACGGTGTATATATGGGGTGTTATAAATTTTAATTAAAAAAAAATTGTAACCGATTATTCAATTTTAGTGGGTTACAAATCCATTATTTTCAAAATCAATTCCAGCCGGTTACAAATTCATTGTTTTCAAAAAATCAATCTTTTGTCAGTTACAAATCCATGCCATGCCTTCCTGCTTTAAGAATGGATTTGTGCATTTCTAAATCAAATTCAAATATTTTAGCATTACAACCTGTTGCTTTATTATTATATTTTTTGTAACCGGCGAGATGCATGATTTTCTTATCAGTTTTTTCATTTTTGTAACCTACAAGATTTATTTTAAATTCATGACAATCTTGCACTTTATTTTCCAGTCACATTGTAAAAGCTTATAAATAGGCAGCCTCCATTTCTACCAAAAAGGTTGATACAATTTTTCATAATCTACACTCCTACTCTAAAAACACAGCAATCAAACTCTCTTTGGGCAAGGAAAAGGTGGCGGGGTGGAGCTTTCTTTACAAAAGTGCAGTACTTGTAAAGATACAATAAGGAGGTTGGGCTGTTGTATCCTGGGAGCGACGTGACCATAAAAATCTACTGCACCAGTGACACGAAACGTCCTAAAGAAAGTGATTGATCCACTCCTCAACTCAGTCTCTTCATACTTTCGGTGACATCTTTCTACTTTTCATTTTCATCTTTAATTAATTATTTTTTGCAAATCTTTTGTCTATTTTTCTTCTATTTATTTTACGATGAACAACATGGGTGCATAGTATTAGAAGGAGAAGGACATCTAAAGTATGGGCAGACCTATCATGAGGCTGTAATATCTCAAATTTTTGGGAATTTTATCATTTAAGTTAGGGACTTGATTGTGAGAAAAAATTGTTTTGGGGTCTAATGTGAATATTCTGAAAGCTGAGGGACTTAAAAAGAAAAAAAATTTTGGATAAGGATGGCTTCTTTTCTTTTTCTTTTTCCTTCTTTCTTTTTTCTCCAGCCCGCGCGTCTGCTCTTCTTTCCCGCGTCCCCCTGCAGCCGAACAAAAGAAGCCAGCCGCCGGTGACATTTTCTTGAGGAAAACCGGTAGGAAGCTTGATTTTCTCCTTCTTTTCTTGCTCTAGAACACTTCTAGAACCAGAAATTTCCCCCTCCTGCAGAGAATTCCAGATCTGCTCGGTTTCTCCCCCTTCCCTGTCCGTGAGCTGCAGCTTGTGGGTGCGAATTCTGGGCATTTTCAGGTAAGAAACAGCCATTAAATCCCTTTGTTTTAGCCTTAAATTAGCTTGGGTTCATGTTAAATATGTTGTTTCTCCAGAATTTTGATAGATTTCCCGTGAGCCCGTGAGCTTTCTTCTTCCATGCCGCCGGCCTTCCCCCAATCTTCAGCTCCGGTTTTAGCTGGAGAATTATGGTATGTGACAGCCATTTAAGCTTGAAATTATCCATATAGTTTGCTGGCTGTGTTGTTCGAATTTGATAGAAAATTTGGGGATAATTCCGGTAGCTTTAGGATGAGATTTAAGCACTAATTCAAGTGGGTTTTTGTTTAATTTAAGTGTAAATTGCTTGAGTTGTTTGCTGTGATTTTTGGAGAGAAAATCCCGTGAGAATAGGCCATGGTTTGGCCAATTTTTGGAAGTGTAGTTACTGTTCACGTCGTGGTTACTTTTGGCGGCAGTGTTTATGGGTACTGTTCACACACCGAGGGTCAACAATTAACGGGGATTTAATTGATTAGCTTGTGATATAAGAATGAATTTGGAGATATCCGATAATGTGGAGATTTATAGAAATAGCATCGTGATTAGGGGGTGATCTTAATGATGATTTCAGTGTGAATTTGTGATAGTACGGAATTAATTCTTGAAATATTTTGATTAGGTTCCCGATCGTTCTGTCAGTTATCACTGAGATTGAGTGCTCGATTTTATGCGAGTGAGGTAAGTAAATTTATGGTAATGCCCTACAGTTTTTAAAAGCATGTTTTGATTTGTTTTTGAAGTGGTGGCGGGACTAAACCCATTTTACACAAGTATGATCGATTGAAATGAAATTTTTATGCTTTTCATTAAATTGAGCATGCTTACTTGAAATTTAATTGATTGTCCTGATATTTGAAAGTGATTAGTGAATTATGATTTTTCTGTTAACTTCAACCTGTTTTGTGTCCGATGTGGTCATGTTATTAGTGACCTTACTAGTGGGGATTATACGCTAGCACATGTCGACATGTTAGTGATAGAACCGGTTCGTTCGAGCGACCCTGCTAGTGGGGATTATACACTAGTAAACAGTGCGCCTGTCAATGGGTAGTTTATAACACTAGCTGTGACCTATAGAAGAGACGTCTATTTCGTTTCCGTACCCGTATCTGTTTTTCTGATTATACTGGTTGGCATACTATAAGTTTAATAAGGGCACTCCATATTTACTTACTGAGTTTATCTCATAATTTTTCCTTGTCCACCATTTTAGGAAGCGAAACCGAGGATGGGGAAACCACGGGAAGTGACAAGTTAAAAGGCTAGCCATTTCGAGAGTGATATAGATTTTAGAAATAAATCGTGATCTTGTAAATCAGAGTGTATTTGAAGATTTATGATATTAGAGCAAATTAAAATTTGATCTTCAGATTTTAGTGGTATCAGATTGTGAATTGGATAAGTTTCGAGCCGCATTTGTGGGACCCTCTCATAAGTGCACGGCGTCTGCCACGTCCTCGGATTCAGGTTCTGGGGCGTGACAGAGGCTGTCCAGACGGGCAGAGCTATATATAGAATAGGGGGCGGTGGCCCCCTGGGATTTGAAAATATATATAATTAATTATTATTATTATTAAATTTTTAAATATTATATTTTTAATTGTTAAAATACATAAAATAAAAAA